CTGGTTGAGTGTTTGAGGTGGGGTGCAGCCTCCCCCCCACAGCCCCCCCGGGCCCAGCAGCCAAGCGGGGTCCCCCCCAGACTGCTGTGTGCGCCCCATGGGTGGGGAGCAGGTCTCCTGCCCAGCCCAGCGAGGAGGGGGACGCCAGGCTCTGGCTGAAAACGCCTCGTTCATCAATCCTTCAGCAGAGAAAGGAGGCAGGAATTGCCATAACAACAACGACGATCGTTAATTTGATTTTCTGCATGACTCCGACCACGGGGTCTCGGGCGCTAATTCCTGCTCGGAGCTCGGGGTTTAAGATGCCGTGTCTGGCCGTGTCCCCTGTGAGCAGGGCTGAGGGTTAATTCCCATCCAGGGGGGGTGCGTGGGGGGAGAGGGAAGAGCTGCTGTGAATTCTGCAGCTCCTGTTGCCAGCCCTGAAGCTGTTGTGCCCTCGCTGAGGAGCTGCAGAGCTGCTGGGATCCCTCCGGCTCCTGGCCCAGCTGGATCACAGCCACCATCTGTCCCTGTCCCCGGGAAGGGGCCAGCCCGTTTCACAGTCGGGGCTACTGCTCTGCGCAGCAGCCTGAGCCCATCCATCCTCATCCTCCCCCTCTCCCCCAGCCCTGGAAGCTACCCTAACCCGCTGGGTTTGCAGCAGGAGCACCCGGGCGCACACCCCCTGTACTCCCTCCAGCAGCACGGGGGTCCCGGCCAGCCCACCTGCCTCGCCCCAGGCACCCAGACACCCCGAAGGGGTCTGCCCACAGCTCCTGCCTGTTTCCCCGGGGCTGGGCCCCTGGAGTGCCTACCCTGGCCTCTCCCCATGTCTCAAAGTCCTTCTCTGTGGCCAGTAGAAATCTTTGGATCTTGGAGCAGAGAACATTTTGGGCTGGGATTTCTTTGGAAGAGAGAAAGTGTGGAGTTTGGGGGTGCTGGAAAGGGCTGGACTCTGAGCAACTGACACTACCTCTCCCCTCCCTCGCAGGCAGTGGCCAAAGTGGCCGGCAAGACGCAGACATCACCTGCACGCCGTGCTGGCACGGCCACGGTCCCCTGTGGCACCTCACTGGCGGCCAGACGAGGCCAAAGTGGTGTGGGGTGGTGACCCCGAGCAGTCCCTCTGTGCTCGAGAACCTCAAAATCCCAGAAAGAAAATGGTTGGCAACTGGAGATACGGTTCTGGCCTTCAAGCAGTCCGAGTGGCTTTGTCATGGGATCTGCCTCTTTAAGGGGTGTTTTTCTCTTGGATATGAGACTCGGAGGAAACAGGCTCTCTGGGACATGATGGCATCAGTGATGCTGTCGGGTACACACGCTAAAGTGAGAAACCAAAAGGTGGGCCCCAGCCCTGCTGCAGGATGGGGTGAGGTCTCTGGGCCCGGGGCTGGGGGTAGCACAGGGGGCCGGGGGGCTCACATGCCCCCCAGCTCATGCGCTTGGGGTGCCCCAGGTCACAGGCTGTGTGACTGAGCCTGAATTTGTTGGATTTCTCTGGGAGACCGGGTGGCTGCCCCCGCTGAGCTCCTCTCTCTGCCTTCCCCTCCCCAGTGTGACCAGTACAAGAAAGGAATCATTTCTGGCTCCACGTGTAAAGACCTGTGCGAGGAGCGCAGCCTCCTCTTCCAGCACTGCCTCTCCTCCTCTCCCACCCAGCAGGTAGGTCTCTGCCCCTCGGGAAGACCACGGCAGGGCAGGGGATGGGTGCAAGCATCACCCGGAAACGTCCTCCTCCACCCACCCGCACGTCCTCACCCCATCCCTGGTACCCGCCCCAAACCAGAAACCGGTTCTCTGTGCTGGGTTTCCGCCTGTCTCCGCCGTGTCCCCTCTCTGCTGTAGGTGTACCGTGGGCTCTGGAGGGAGCGGGAGGTGATCATCAAATGCAGCATCGAAGAAGCCTTGAAGGCAGACAGCCACCCGGACGCGGTGCCCAGGAGGGACGTGGTCCTCTTTGACAAGCCGACACGAGGGACATCCATGGACGAGTTCAAAGAAATGCTCCTGAACTTCCTCAAGGTCAGTGCGGAGGCTCCCTCCGGGATCTTGCGCGCTTGGGATGCCACCTGTGATTCAGAAAGCCCAAACGCATCTTTGCTGCCCCTTAAAGCAGAGCTGCTCTGGCCCACGCTCCCCCGTCAGCTGCTGGGCGCCAGGCAGGGCTCCTCACCCTACGCTGCAGAGCGAGGATTTGCCAAGCAAACCCTCCACTCTCACACGGGAATTTGTACTTGGAACATTTTAATAGCAGCAACCCTGGAGGCCGCTGTTCCAGTGGCATCCGTGCTGGGCAGAGCTTCCTCCGAGGCCCTGGCAGCACCGGCACCGCTGCAGCCGTTCCCCTTGCGCCGGGGCTGCCGCAGTGGGACAGCAGCGCTCCCAGCCTCTCCCCCCAAAGCTTGCTCCCACTCGGAGCAGCCCCAAGGCTGGTAAAGTTCTGCTGGAGCTGAATCCGTCCAACCACGTGCTGTGGCACGGCACTGAATCTGGGCACGGTGGCTGTTCCCTGCTCTCCCAGGCTCTTTGCTTCCCCAGGGCAGGTTTTCCCCGAGCGCAGAGCTGGAAGGGTCTGATGGCATTTCTCCTTCCGTTCACAGTCCAACCTGGGAGATCAGCCTTCCCTTGCAGCCTTGGTGAGCCGGATCATCGCCATGGCAGACGTGAACCGGGATGGGAAAGTGTCTTTGGCAGAAGCCAAATCCATCTGGGCCCTCCTTCAGCTCAACGAGTTCCTTCTCATGCTCTCCTTGCACGAGAAGGAGCACACTTCCAAACTGCTGGGGCACTGCGGGGACCTCTACGTCACCGAGAAGATCCCCCACACCTCCCTCTATGGAGTGGATGTCCCCCCCTTCCTCCAGTCGCTGCTGCCTTCCGTCCTCCACCAGCTCCTCCACCAGTGGTTCGCGCCCGCCTGGCCGCGGCGAGCAAAGATCGCCATCGGCCTCCTGGAGTTCGTGGAGGAGATATTCCACGGGACCTACGGGAACTTCTACATCTGCGAGACCAGCTTGAAGAACGTGGGCTACAACGACAAGTACGACTTCAAGATGGTCAACCTGAGGAAGGTGGCGACGGAGATGACACTCAGAGGTTTCCTCAAGGGCCGTCACTGTGAGCAGAACGCGGACTGCACCTACGGGCAGGACTGTACGGCCGCCTGCGACAAGCTCCTGAAGCAGTGCAAAAGCGACGTGGTGCAGCCCAACCTGGCAAAGGTCTGCGGGTTGCTGCAGGACTACCTGCTCTACGGAGCGCCGCCGGAGCTGAAGGAAGAGCTGCACAAACAGCTCCGAACTTGCACGACGCTGAGCGGCCTGGCCAGCCAGATGGAAGTGCACCACTCCCTCGTGCTCAACAACCTCAAAACCTTGCTCTGGAAGAAGATTTCCAACACCAAATATTCCTAACGGGGGAAGCACGGCCTGAAGTTTGGAATCTGTGAGCCTGGAGTAAGCCCAAGGCTCGAAGGCCTGTTTCTCCATCCTCTCCCAACAGGAAAAATACACCCTGCACAGGGAGTTCGGCATAGCTCCAGCCCCTTCTCCTTCATGGAAAACCAAGCATCACGACTTCCACCGCCCAGCGGGATCATCGCTACAGTCGGCAAGCGCGTGCTGAGGAGCTGGGACACGGGGAGCCGGGCTGAGCGGGCTGGGGGGAAGAGGATGACAGGGAAAGCGGGAAGGAAGCGGAGCCCAGCTGGATGCATCGAACTGTTCCTTGATTAGCAGGAGAGCAGCGCGGAGAGCGGCGGATGAATCATTCATGCTGTACTCGTCACGTCCTTTGATGAACGTCTCTGTGTAAATAAACAGCTTTTACGTGAATCGCACCGGTACATCAGTAGCCAAACAGCAGCGCTTTAAGTGCCAGCTTGCTTGTGATCTAAAGAGGGGAAAAAGGTAGATTTCCCTATTCCAAAGTCTCACCCGCCATCAGCTCCAGCTGTAACTTAGGAAGCAGATAAGCCATCATTTCCACAGCGGAGAATCCTGGCAGTTCTTTCATTCCAAGTGCCTGACCCCAGACAGCGATGCCACGGCTGGTGCGAGGCTTCCACCCGGCTGCTCCTGCCCGCGGTCTGAGCTGGGAGCGCAGGCCATTCCCGCGGGAAGCCTCCGAGGCCGGGAATAGCTTAAAGGGCTACCACAGGCACAGTCCTGACCGCTTACCACACGCACTCTGTGTGTGTTGCTTCCCACAATACCCAGAGCAGGGATAAGCCAACCTCTCTCTTTAATTCTCCTAAAAGTAAGCCGGGCTCGTGCTGCAGAGGTTAAAGATTAACACCAGTATAATCCAGTGCTTCTCCCGTTATTAAAGTGTATTTCCAGGCAAGCTTCCAGCAGGTCTCAAGGAATTTGGCTCGTACGCACGACCAGCTCTCGCTACGGTCTGTCTCCTTTAAACGTTTAAAACTACAGGTAGCGAGGAGGAGTGTACCTAAAGCACCCCGGGCTGGCTCCCTTCCCGCCGACCGACCGCGTGCCGCTGCTCTTGCCAACAACTGCTTAGTGGGGCGTGTACCCCAAGTACAAGCACTGAGGGGGTACAATCCCCGCCTGTGAGAGCACGCACAGCCTGCGGAGGCAAGCGATGGTGTCACGGCTGCCCATCTACGAGCCCTTCGGAGGAGGTATCGGTATTTCCTTCTATAGGATCTATAGGATTGTCAGTACCTCACCACTGCTATGTATGGAGGAAATGTTTCCATGTCAGCAGGGCTCTAAATCTAGCGCAAAGGCCGCGGAGGAGTTGGCTTCCCAGTGTAATTCATCCGCGGGAAGGTCGGGTGTTTGTAAGGTTCCCAAGTTCGAAGGGTGACAAGTTCCTCAGAGTCACCCTCAGTTGTGTACGAGGTTCTACGGAGCGTGTGGTGGAGAGCAAAGGCAAGGACTGGGATTCTAAGGAGGCTCCATGCAGCCACCCCAGCTCCTTTGTCTATTGTCCTGCATTCCCATGGCAACCAGCTCCACCGACAAATTAATTTTCTTGTGCTATTAGAAAAAGGAACCTAACAACCCTGCCAAATCCTCTGATTTTCAGGAAAGTAATTTTTCACCCTCCCCTCAGCATTTGAAATCTGCTGGTAAATTCTGTCCAGAAAGCAGCGATCCTGCTGCACCTCACCCCCGCTGCACCTCACCCCCGCAGAGGGTTTCTCAAAGCAGCATTGGATGGAGCAGCAGGTCAAGCCCCCAGAGAAGCAGTGGAATGCAAGCAGTCCCCTGCTCATCCACATAATCTTAAATACCAGAATCTCTTTATGCATTTACTGATGGAAGATGAAGTTCAGGACAGCCCCTGTACTTGAAAGAACCACCCAAAACAGCTTTATTCAAATAAAGCCACTTCTGATGAGAACTGTTGCATCGTGGTGATGGGACATCAGGAAGAAATCCTTCCCGCAGAGGGTGGGGAGCGTCCAAGGCCAGGCTGGATGAGGCTTGGAGCAACCTGGTCTGGTGGAAGGTGTCCCTGCCCATGGCAGGGGGTGGGACTGGGTGGCCTTTAAGGTCCCTTCCAACCCAACCCATTCCATGATTCTCTATAATCATGACATTGCTTACCTGCGCCCTCCAGTAACAGCAGTGGAGGCTGCCAGAAACCACCTTGGACTGACACAGCCCCAAAGTACCCAGTTTTGTTCTTCGCTAATAAAAAAAAGCAGGAGAAAAAATGACCACGGGCAAAGCTGTTACACTCCCTAATGCATTCTCCAGACTTCCCACTTCAGCTGGAGGAAGAAGAGCCAGAACACTGGAAGCCTGACAATCTGAGCTCACCAGATGCTGTAGCAGCATCAGGTTTGTGCTACAAGGGGGTGGAGATAAGCAGCAAGAATTGTACCTTTCATTGTTTATAAAGCAAAAAACCCATCCTAGTTCTCATATCCACAAATAAAAATCTTAAATCCTGGAATGGTTAAAATCTATATCACTGGGGTGCTGCAAATACACAGCGTAATCAGGTCAGACTTAGTGTAGGTGGCATCTCCATTTTATTTTTTAGTGATTTTAACCACGCCGAGAAAGCGTGGATTGACACAGCAGTGCGTGAGAACGTGGCTGTGATGCCGGCGTGCAAGCCCAGGCTGGGAGAAGGGCATCAGCTCTCACAGCCCTCCGACAGCAGCAAAAGCAGAAAGGACACTCGGAGCACAACAGGACTTTTGAGACGGAGATGACACACGGGCTGCAGCAAACAGGCAGAACCAGCAGCGCGTGCCTGCGGCGGGCTCGAGCCCAGGTATGAGAGACGGACCTTCAGGGACCGCCGAACGCAGACACCACTAACCATTTCTTTGCTGTAGCCAGGCCCGAGCTTCCCAACCTCGAGGTGTGACCTGCAAGTAAAACAAAAAGGCCCAGGATGTTGAACAATTTCAAATACAATGTCAATACTAAGCTGCTAATGAATCCACACCACCCCAGTTGCTGCTGCCACGGCGGCGCAGCGCGTGAGCTCAGGCACTGCAGCGAGTCGGGAGACAGAACTGCTTTTGATTTCAGAGGCAACAGTTTCAGCCAATTGAAGAACTACAAAAGGTTTGTCTTGGGGCTGCCCAGAGATTTTTCACATCTCAGAGGAAATAGCCGGGCTTGGTTATCGTGATTCACAGGGAAACTTGAGAAGGGAATTTCCTTCGGCCCAGGGCCACCGAACACCCTGACTCGCACTGGGTAGTCACCGTGGCCAGTGGAAGCTGAGTGCCTGCACACTTGCATGGGCCAGCACCTAAAGCAGATGGCACTAATACATGGGACTGATTTAGGAGAGATTCTTTGTCACTACATCAGAAAGGTTTTGGGGGAAAAAAAAAAAAAAAAAAAAAAGTCTTCCAGCTAGGGACAGTGCACTTGGGCAGGTCTGGGAAAGGGATAATTTAACAGCTGGACCCTGCTCTTGGCTCGCTTTCACTCCCAGGCTCCCTAAAAATCAAAGGTGGGTTTGGCAGCCTCAGTGCAGAAGCGAGTGTCAGTAGAGCAAAGCTGGGCTTGTTCCAGCACTCAACGCCGCGGCACAAGCCGGGTCTAGAGGGTGAAGGGCTTCGTGATGCGCAGATGTACGTTTCTCTCAAAACCACTTCCATGCACCACACTCATCCTTCCCACAGCTGAAGGCCAGCAAACTCTTTGAGTAAAGCGATACTCATAGCCTGGGATTGCTGCTCTGTCTCGGGAAGACAGCAGCAAACGCCGTTAGGAAAAGTTTAATAGATGTCCTGTGCCTCCCAGGGCGAAGGTGTAGAGACTCACATGGCTCGCAGTACCCCTAGGGAACCCTCCGTGCGAGTCAGGCCTGATGAAAAACCTCAAGTGGGTATTTCAGGGTTAAAAGAAGTCAGGAAATTTAACTAGAAGAGTCACATCTTAAGGCGTGCCTCTTTGCATAACCATATTCCCAACAACCTGATTAGCATTCTTTTCCAAAGCCACCGCTGGTAGGCAGTGACTTTTCCCAATTAAATGGCTCATTTTCCAGCCGGCAACTACCCGCGTGGTTAATGGCACCTTTGGCCCTCATAATGCCTGCTTAATGAGGACATTTTCCACCATTTAGCACCGCCAGATTTTGTCAGAGCTGTTAGTCACTGCAAAGCCTCTCAGAGTTGCACAACAGTATCCCCGTGTGAAACTGCTCCCACCACGTGTTTCGGTGCCGGCAGAGCGGAGGCTCAGGAGCAGCACACCGCCCCAGGAAGGGCAGCCGAGATGCAGAGCTGCCGGGGGATGCAGATACCTGCGCTGCCCTGCGGCTCCCTGCCTCGAGGTGAAGTTCCCTTGCCATCCTGCTCACATCCACACAGCAGACACCAACTCCAAAGTCACACCATGCGCAGTTCTGGGTTTGCTTTTCGCCTGCTGGGTTAGCAGCGAGAACACGATGCTCAAGGAAGGGTCTTGTTTTGGGAAACAGGGCAAAGCATTCCACAGCCTACTCAAAATCAGTTCAGAAAGACTTCAGGTTTTAGCATTAATTTTTTGCCTGGGTTACTGACATCAGTCTTTTTATTTCTTCATTCATATGCCCAAGACACAGCCTCATCACCCCGCACATCACCGATTCTGCAGCCTTTCGTGCCCGGCTGCAGCAGCACGGGAGCCTGCTTCCATCATCTCGGCCACACTAACACATTTAGTGTTCCCAAGAAACGACTTACAACCTACCTTCAGCATCCGAAGCAAGTTCCAGAACTTAGTCCCCTTCTCAAAGTACCTGTAAGAAGGAAAAACATCTTCAGTTTGGGTTGTTCGGGGGAGGTGGTGGTTTGGTTGGTTGGTTTTCCTCCCCTTTCCCCCGCCAGCATGATAAAGCCGCATTTCGGAGGACCTGCTGCTTGTTTCTGCTCAAACTTACTCAGCACCCTTGGAATTCGGGATGTTGTTGGCCAGGTGTTTTATTAATGTTGGGAACAGAGTGCAACTTTCTCCATATGCAAAATCCCGAGCCAATTGTTCCGAGATCACACCAATACTTTGGAAACAGCAAATTCAGTGCCTGATTCCCCAGCCTGCTCCACTTCCGGGTGCAATTCCTGATACCTACACAAGGCTAAACCTGGCGCAGCTCAAG